ATACAAATACATCAAATACAAAAAAGTTGTAACATAGCTTGTGTACAGACACAAGATGATGCAAGAAACGTGAAGAAAAATGTAATTAGACAAAATATGTAAGAAGCGAAAATCTTGTATGTCACGATTGTTTTTTCCAAAAGTATCTGCTATTCAACACCTTTTCTTCTCCATCGCTCTTAGCGATTCTAGACTAACAATCCGTAGTTATCACATTTTATTTTTTACGTGTCCGCAAATTTTGTTCACTTCCAATGTGCCAAGCTAAATGATTAGGCATTTATTTATTGGAATGTTGTTATCTCTAATTGATACACCAATTGCATAACACATTTGGAACTCTTGACGAAAAATATCGAATATCGGGATAATGTACAATACTTACAGCCTTGGATCACCAAACCTTTTTTGTAACTCAAACAATTTTGTTTAACGTATATATATATATATCTGTTCTGTTTCAATTTTTTTGAAAGCAAAATGCTTTAATACGCGCAAAACGCGCGTTTTGAAATAAAAGGTGGCAAAAACCCATGTACTCATTAAACGGAATTCCCGGAATTAAGCAGAGAAGGAACACGACTAATGACGGATAAATTATCGGCCGATGTATCGTAATAATAAGCCTCGCTCGTATTGTGAAATATCTAGTATAGTAATAAACAAACACAGTTAACGCTTAGACCATGTACATGTACCATATACGAAATAAGTATCGTAAGATTAACACGAAATGTTTCCTATATGGCCGCAAGTCTCCGTATTATAAGAACGGCGCGCGATCGCTAAAATTTAGGCCTATAGTTTAATAGTTCTGTAATATATTAGAGTTACTTGAAAATTTTAAGGTAGTACGTAATCATGTCTGGAAATGCGTATAACTATAAAGTGTGCCTGTTGACGCGCAATTGATCGCATTTGATAAGTATGTGATCTGTTTGAACGTAAATCACAAAGCAGAGATTCAAGGATGTTTGGGCGCTAGATCAATGTACATCTGTATCATTGTCGAAAAAGATCAAGGAATATCGAGCAGGAAGAACAGCATTTATTTTATCGTAAAAATTAACATTTACTTTTTATCGTAAATATTAAGCGAAGCGTACTCCGACTGCGTTACGTGAATAATTAAGTCCTCCGCCGATCTTAGACTGAAGCATAGCTCTATTCATCCTCAACATCGAGAAACACTGACATAGGACCCTACATCTCGATCTGTAATTTATTTGTATTTATTCTGTGTACATGAAACAGACGAATTTAGCGCAAACGCAATTTTAAGACGCTATTGATTAGTTGATATTTAATAGCATATGTTGCACTTTAGCAAATATATATGAGCATTACAAGGCGGTTCAATTCCTCTTGCATCGATATCACGTCCTTTCGTATTTCGAACTCTTTACATCAATATCTCACGTAGAATTTGAAAACCACATTAATTTTATATTAAGAAATACGTTGAGCCACGTTTTTGCAATTTAATATTTTTGTTATATATGATTCTTTTGTTATGGATAATTTTTTTCGGTATTATCTAATAAAAAAATCTTGCAGTAAAATAAAACCCTCATCATGAGGTTTCTTATTATGATAGTAATGACTTTAATTAATATCCCATACGCTGTTTTTATTCAGTCTTCTTTAATCTAATCTTGTTCCGCAATTATGTTCACAGTTCCTATCATTATTACATTTATACGCGCAACAGACAAAACTCTGATACAACATTGTGTATAATATCGTATATAGCGTTATATATATGTTAATATATCATTTCAAATCATATTTATATGTTTTGTCACTATTTAGTCATTTACTACTTTTCATTTTGCGAAATAAGTTGGTTGACTGTACAACTGCTCAATATTACTTTGCTCAACTTCCGTGACAGTAAGATAATGACCGTAAAACTAACATTATTGTATTATATAAAATGTAGATCAAAGTCTTTTTATTTCAACTGAATTTATAAAACATTTTCCTTCTATTTTATAGTCTGATCTTTTTCATTTATTTTATAGTAGATACGATCTTACTTTTTATACATATAATAGACTTTCAACAAAGTCACGTTAGTTTAAAAAAAAAATCTTATAGAACAAGATACATTTAAAGCTGAGAATCGTATTACAAAGTTATCCAGGATAATTGTACTTTTTTATGTTTTCTTTATATATTTAGATTTTTCAAAGAAAATGATTGAAGAATAATTTTAATTTTTTATTAGAATTACGCGTATTTTAACAAACAGCATAGTGTTCAATCGTTCCTATTCTACGAACATTGACCACTTTTTATTTTTAAATCGTTTTATATGACAACTGATATATGTATATATATTGCTAATTATGTTTTTTTTTGTGTCTATTATAGAATTATCACTTATAGAACACGTTTATTTAAGTAAATGTACGTATGCTTCACCTGTTCATTGTATTTACACAATATTACACGATAGTATACAGACAAAAAGATTTATTTTTGACAATTATACACAGAATATTTTGTTTATTTAAACGAAAATATTATACTTTATCAAAATTGCTAAAGACGAACCATGGTCATACAATAATGCTCAAACTGCTAATTTGCAAGTGTAATAAAAGCAAAATTGTCTGGACAATTTGCGATCAGCTATGATACAGATGTGCAGAGATTATAAATTGCGAAGCTTCCTTTTTTTTTTTTTATTTCCGCTTTTCGGTGATGTTTTGCGCACCGGTTCAGCCTGTAAATGCTTGTAAATAGTATTTCGATTAATTTTTGTCTAAAAATCTACGCAAAGTATGTATTGGACAAAGTGAGTGTTGTATAATGTTGGGCTATAAAGTGTGGATGCGTTTGATGAACGATGAACGGAAGTGTGTTTATAGTATGTCAAATAAAATTAATGCACACGTATTATTTGACAAGACGCGTATGCGTTTATATGCAAAGCTTCTTAAGAACAAAGTGCGAATGTAAAAAGAAAAAAAACAAACGAAATACTCGTTGTTTCCCCCACAAGTTTAATGCCGAAGAATATTTTATCGTTAACATCGATCTCTAGGGAGCTCTGATGTATGCTTGAGTCCTTTGTTAATGATCATAGTCACATTAGGTGGATTTATCCACTTCCGATGCAATGTTACGCGTTAATAAATAATTCGTTCTCGTAAAAGGACGAAAAGGGATATTGAATCAAAGATTAGCCTAACGTCTTCTAATAATTGTGCATAATGCTGCGATACATGCACCGTTCACAATAAAGTGTTGTATAGGATGGTTTTGAAATACAGATCGATTAATATATCTATGAATAATATTATTTAACGTAAAGCGATATAGATCAATTTTAACAGAGTTTTCAAAACGTGCGGATTTACACGACTTTGAAAATGCGTCAACATTTCATACGCTACATAAGGAAACACAATTAATAAATACCACATTACGGGGGCAAACGATTTGCTTGGAGACTTTTTTTTTTTTTTAGACGCTGTGCACGCGCGCGCACGAATGTAGTGTATATTTTCTTTTTTGAGTTTAAAGCAAACGCCACTGCCATAATGAAAGACAAAACCTACGGAAAGGAAACAAAACAGATGTAGTATGAATGAAACATAAGCCCGCAATATCAGTATACCTCGGAATTGAAAAATCCTCGTCTCATGGGAGATACCCGTCATCTTTAAGTTTTCGTTATTCGCCTCGACGTATCACGCGTAATCGCTTGTATATTTGTAATTTTGCGTGTAACGTTATCGAGCATTATACAGAAATTCAATGATTCTTCGCTGTACGGTACGATATAGCGTAGCAGATAATTGGGTGTGTTTTAGCGAGAGCATTAACGAATTAGTAAGGCGTTATTTTTTTTTTTCTAGAGATTAAGGATAATTTTTGTTGCTTGCGCTAATAGTGCGACGACTTTCTATTTCCTTCTGTAAGTTACACTTTTGAATGTCGCACGAACGTGTATAATACGGGGATATAAATAATGATAAAAAGAAAACGTTCGTGTGGACAACGAAAACCGAAATGCACCTCGGAGTCAGTAACAAAAGCCGATGGTTGCTAGGCACAGCCATTGCTACAGATAGTCGTAGATGTAACTTTAATTTGTAATATCGTTATTGTAAGAATATAGGATCGCGCTATGGATTAGGGCGACAGATATTATCCCTTATCTGTCACTGTATTATCTTTAACTGTTTCCATCTTCCCTCCCGTCGCGCATCCCTTCGAAGGTATTGATGTGACCGCGCCCGGGCAACGCTTGACAAATTTAGATTATCTTGCATTAAAAATTGTATTTACTATTATTAACTGTACGATTAACTACTACGCGCTGTACGCAGAGGAAGAAACAAACTTTATTTACCAAATACCAGTTTTTTAATAAAAATCTTTTTGTGAAAGAAAATATTGAACGCTTGCTACCTCGCCATGTTATCGAAATTATTACGCATTACTATTATTTATATTTATTTTTTGCATAAAATGCGATACGCAAATTAATTAGAGTGTAAAATTATCTAATAATTAACAAATAACACACGCAATATCTTTTGTTATAATATGCTAGTTGTATATATAAAAGATCGATATTCGATTTTTATTTACATTTAGTTTAGAAAGTGCTTCAAATAATTTACGAGTCTTTGATATGTTTTTTATGTGTTTGAAAAATTATCAAATTCTTAAATTAATACTTTGATTAATATTTATGTTACGATTAATATTTACTTCGATGTCTTTTTTTCCGAGGACATTTTTTCCATTATCTCCGTTACTCTTGTTACCATCTTCTATTATTATTTTACGAATTGAGTTTCTTACTGAGAATTAGTTTCTTACTTTTCACGATACGACCGATCACGAGGATGTAGGGTATGTTATCGTACGATATGATCGTACGAAGTTTACTTGACGAATCTTTGGCCCACGTCATAGAATCCGTCAAAAACTATGATTCATCGTCGACGTGGTCAATTTTGCAAATTATATGCACGTACCTAATAATAATGAATCATCTGTTGCACTTTCGATGTATCTGAGCGAAAAAACGACGAAATATGCAAAGATACTCCAGACTCCGGTTATTCCGAGCCCATCGTCGACTGCGACTTCCCGAAATCTTGTTATTAAGCATATAATGGAGGTAGCATTCAATATTTTATATATTAAAATGATCACTCGACACTTCACAAGACACTTCCGATCACTATTCGCGTTCACGAAACTCTTTCTAAGCAGTAACGGTTACGAGAAATACGAGACAAGTCCGTACACGTCCCGAAATGTCCCGTAACTGATAAGACAGGTTCGAGAATCGCAATATCGAAGTTCAAAATTTCGAGAATCGTAACTATCGAAATGGCCCCGAGGTGGCCGTTTTTTCTTTTGTGTATTTGTGTATGTATGCCTCTGTTTTTGTAATTTATGACTACGTTTACACGGTCAATCTTAATAATCGAGTTTAATAACATCCGTAGTTAGAAACTAATCAATCACAGTCACTCTATTCTTCAGAGGGAATAGCTATGATTGATCAGTTTCGTCGTAAAACAAATGAGACATAAACATACACACATACTTGTGTTGACATACTGTTAAGTAATTGTCATGCAAATTCATAATATATAGAGGAAAGCCTCCTATTACGAGGCGGCTAATATGAGATAGCGACGTTTCTGCTAAACTAATAAGCGTTATCTATTGGTTCCATCATGAATTTATTGCTCTTCGATTGAAAACTATTTAGTAGAAAATTCATTGTTAGATCATGCCTGTAGTCATTGTAAAAAAAAGATTTTAGAATTTGGACGTCTTCAAGTTTCATTGAGATGAGCCTTTAAATCTTGTTTATTATTTAATAAATAAAAATATTTGGTAATGAATTTTCTTCATGTAGTGATAAAGTCGTACAAATAGAAAAATACGAGACATGTTGAATTGTTTAATTACAGAAGTTAGAGAGTTGATAATCGTAAAACCATAAGGCGTGGAAATCGTAATATGAGATTACCCAGGGTATTTGTAATATAAAATAACCCATGATCCTATGTTATAGTGAAAATCGTTGCTAAAGTATAAATATTATTGTACAATAATAAAAAAAGACAACCGGAATGAACGTCGAGTGCCTATTTTTGCGATGCTTGATTCCAACTACCTGAAGATGAGTTCTGGGTACAATTTATCGCATGCTCACTTTTCACGCACGCTGACTGTGTTTGTTTGCATTTTAGAAACATGAAATAAAATTTTTTAATTGCAATACTGATATACTTTACGTTTTACTATCAATTTCTCGGGGGGGGGGGGGGTGGGGCATCTCATATTAGGAGTACAATTTTTTGACTTTGCGATTTGCTCACTTTTTTCATTTCTTTCATTTAAAAAAAAATGGAATTTGAATTAAATTTTATATAACGTTAATCTTAAAGCTTCTTAAATTCTCTTCAAAATGACCTATTATTTTTTTAAATTTTGCCTATAGATTTCTAACATTTATCCAAAATAAGCTCGATATCTCATTATAAGGGCCTTTCCTCTATTATATAACATAAGAAGATAGCATAATGAGATCGCAAATGATCGTTCATTCGATATGATTTTATAGTATGAAGTCGTACTTCATAGTACGACTATTTCATAGCGTTTTGATTTGACAACTCAACACAAATGTGATTACAATAACAGGCTTGCTTTGACCATGTGCCGCGAGAACTTCCACGCCGCAGTATGAAAAATCGGTTATACGATTACATCTGCATTTTCGTCGTACTCGAGATATTGCAATCGTCAATTGGTTACGCGAAAATCATCAGTGATACTCGCAGGTATTGACAGTAATTTTTTTAGATTCTGTATCATCAATTCGTATAATCTGTTAATGAGATTTTTTACACTTTCCACTTGTTATTATCTGTTATGTATTGTTTTCTGCACGTAAAATATTCTCATACAGCACAAATTCCAACAAAATTGCAACGTTCCAGCAATATTGCAGTAACATTGAAAATGTTGCAGCAATGTTGTTGTAAACTTCTGTGCTGTATGAGTGTTTTTTTTTATATTTCATATTGCTTAGAAGATTACATGGTTCTAGAATAAAACGAGAGATATCTGCTGCTAAAACATCACAATTAAAAGCAGACACTAACTATGCAAAAGAAATAAATTTGCAACATGAAGAGAAAAATGATAATGAACTTGAAGATGGTACGTATCAAGACGATACAAGTAAGAAATGCAAAATTTCGAAGAAAGCTGGAAATTTCATGAGCTCCACCGACTTACACTCATCAAACGCTGAAGAATCTCTCAATTATGACAATGCACCCAGCTACCTTAACTCGCAACGCTCGAATGAGGATTTAGAAGAAACGGAAGAAGCGGATGAAGAAGCGACTAAACAAAAACGCGATAAAAACGAAAAAGCGAGCAATCTCATCCGCTTATCTCGGAACATAAATGACTTCAACAGATATACTGATCAGGATGAGAGATCAAGTTTGTACGATGATTACGAGGCAAAAGACATCGCAAAACGTGGTGTTTTAAACGGCTCAGAGGATTACGAGGAAATGGAAGACGACTTGCCAGGAATAGAAGATATGGTTGCAGTGCAAGAATTGACAAATGAAGACGAAAAGAGAGAAACACAGAAGGATGCTCGGGTGAAAAGAGACCAAGCGGACATTTCAGAAATATTTGATAAATCGAGATCAAATTTAGACAATCCAGCAAAGTTAGAGGAATCAAAAATCGCAGAAAAAAATCCTTACTCGCGCGAAGTTTCTCTCACCGAATTCTCGAAAGGTTTTAACGAAGCGTCTGTACCCAACACAAGTAAAAATTCTGAATCAAAGGACGTGATGTCAAAGTTGAGCGACTCGTCCAAAATCCAAGAACCAGCAAACACGATTGTTCTGCTCAAGAAAGATGAATCAAACACAGAAAACGACAAACGCGTGGAAGAGGAAATTCAACGAAAGATTGATTTGATTAAAGAGGAAATTAAACGAGATATTGAAGCGCAGCAACGAATAAGAGACATCGAGAACAATAATGCTAGATTCGACGAATTGCAGGATCAAGAGCATGAGGATGAGGAAAGACAGAACTTCGAGAATGAATCAATCAAAAAACGGCAAACTATAGCCAAGAGGTCTGTACAAGAGATTGCTGATGATGCTATCATTTCTTCTGAGAAAAGTGAGAAGAAACGATCTTTGAAAAAAGAACAGAATAAAAAATGGCAACAATCTAATAAGATCAGTACATCGGATATTTCAAAGCAGAATGAAAATCCGAAAAGACAAGTCGTGACTGACAAGTCTTCTGAGCAAATTCCTTCGAAAGAGCTTTTCAAGAAGAAACGCAAGCGTGTTAGACAAATTTTTTTGGTGAATAACGATCAGCATCAGACAAAGAGAAGACAACTGAGAAGCTACTCGTTGCCATCTGCTCAGGCAATCGTCAGATCCGAAGATGAATTATTTATGAATCCCAAACTAAATTCGTATCTTCATACGGACAACAGAATGGTGAGGCTTAACAGAAAGCAGACTAAAACCATTCATTATTGAGCGATATTATTGAGCGATTAAAAATTGATTGATATATTATATATAAAACAATTGCTATTAAATAAAATTATACAGTTACTACTTAAAATATAAATATTAATATAATATATGTATATAAAAATAAAAAAGTAATAAAATTGTTGCAGCTCGAAAAATCTTCACCAGTTAGCAGCGAAGATGAAAATAACGAGGAAGAACAGAGCCCTACAGCAGAACAGTCAGATTCTTTGGTACCTCTTATTGGAAGTTCACAGGAATTAAGTCCACGTTTTGAAAAAGAGTACAAAGAGGCCTTTGGTGGATTACAGAGTGAGCCTGGTAATGCTCTAGCCAGATTCAAGAGGGTCAAACGTGTGCTAACAGACGATCCTAACACAATTTAAAATTTTTGTTAAGGTGTAAAATGTGACATAGATTAATCTTTTTAATAATCTTCAGGACGAAAATATTTCCATCATACAAAATGAAATTATAAAAAAATATGATATTTTTTTTAATTATGATTAATAGGAAAAAGCTAAATAAATAGGAATATGTAGGGATAGATGTACGTAAAGAAATATCATAGATATTAAAAAAGCAGAATAATACATTTGTAATTAGAGAAATGGTTATAGCTATAATAAAATATAATACCATTACTTACAAGACATTTTGAGATTATCATAGCTTAAATAGGTCGATTTAATCATAGCTTAAATAAATGATATATAAATTCTTGACATAAATGCATAACTATGCTACTTAATATTAATTTATGAATTTCTGTACCGATTATATAATCTTAAAAAATATCAAGATATTTGTTCGTTTTCAGCTAAAAATGATTAAAAATATTGGTAATACTTATAAAATAAGAGAAATATACACATGTCAATCAAAATTTTCAATAATTGCTGTTAAATTATTCTTTTCCTCTATACTTGCAAAACTATATTGTACAGATAATGCAGACAATTCTTTGAGCTGTTGTTTTCCAATATTAAAAACAGAACTTAATATTTCCAATTCTTTTGACAAGCACGTATTAAAAACACCTTTATCGTCGGTCTAAAAAAAAGTTATATTTTAATTTTTTAATTTTAAACAATACAATACATGTTACCTTTTATACTTACTCCAATAGTTATGGGATGTCCAGCTTTGTACAGATATTTAAATTGATGATACATATAAGATGACACTGTTTTACATTTAATGTTTGATGTTAAGCATAATTCTAGATTAAAAGGAAAAAATAAATATGTTTACACATATTCACATTCATCAAAATATCTCTGAAAAGGAGAATTATCTCTCTCGAAGATCTCTTACCAACAGGAATTTTTGATTCCAATAATGTATCAAACAATTGCTGAGAACCTTGCAAACTGGGATGAATGCAAGTACAATGTCCCAAACGATCAGGCTTAAATCTTAATATATCATTTGTTTCCATTTCATTTGGTACCTGTATATGTATTTTGTATGTATATGTACTATATCTATTATATATGTAGATAATTGATTTTATTTGGAAGATAATTCACCTCTGCACAATGAGCTGTAATTTTAAGACCTATTTTCCTAGACGGTTTTAATAATTCTAAGAATGAATTGCCCTCTGTTGGATCACCACTGAGATCAATACCCACAACATGTTCCGGATGTTTTTCCATAAACTGTATAGCAAGATTTATGTTTTCTTCTGCAGATTCGTAACCTTGTTTTCGATTAATTGATACTAGTAGTTTTACAAGAATTTGTGGAAATTTAGATTTTGACGTTCTGTACATATTGGATGTAATAATACTGATTATTTCAGGGAAAAATAAAAAATGTGCCATATATATATATACATTTAAATCAGAATCTGTTATACAAGCTAATATATAGACATTATTGAATCATTACTCACTCGATAGCTTTTATTATAGCTTGAAGATACTGTGTTTTTGTCATTACATCCTTTACAGCACGAGGTGTGCTCCTTAATTCTAAATAAATCACATTATCTTCGTGAAATTCTTTTATCACATCACAAGTAGCAACAAATACAGCTTGTGGTGTAATTGTTAGTGCATGAGCTATATCAAACATTTTAAAACATCTAGAAAATAATAATATATAGCACGTTTTTTATTGAATAATATAGTACCACAAATCTCAATGTTTTATAGAAAAATAAGAAAAAAAGCCTATGTACTCGCTTAAAGATGAGAAATCGGTGATATTTGGATCCATTAAAGTTTCATCACAAGTAGTGTCTGAGCGCTGCATTTTACATAATTTTTGTAACGTATTTATACTTAATGAACCGTTTAAATGTGCATGAAGTTCCTAATAAATAATTAAAAATAATTAATTACTTAGTATATTAAAATATATAAGATTATGAAGTATAAAATAAAAGTCATTTATATTACAATAAGCGTCACTCTTAGATTCGACTTAAAACATACTTACCACTTTGGGCAATTTTCGGCAAAACTCTGATATATCCATTTTATCATTCAATTTCTTAACTTTATAAAATGGTCATTAATGTTTCATAAAATAAATATTCACGTAAATACGTTTGTAAATACAATCAAAGTGTTAATGTAACACGTTAATGGATTGTTTTGATAGATCAGACAATGTTTATCTGTTACTGGCGCCACTATGTACACAAAGTATATACATAGAACTATTAGCAATCATGGATATTTTCAGCGGATAACATATATATTTTCGACTTTATTCCATGTTACCTACATTGTTTGGTTCTATTCCGCGCTATTGGTTCGAAGAGACGCTATTAGCGCTACATTTGTCATTCTTATCTTCGTTGTTTATTAGACGCAAAACAAGAATAGAATGACACAAATAGTGCTAATAGCGTCTCCTCGAATGCACTTTATGTCTACAAAAGTCATACCTTTTTTATATACACTATTAGTTATAATGCCAGTACAGAAAAATTTATAATAAACAATAATTCACGTTATACTATATAGATTTTCAATACTAGCAGTGAACATCGGAACACGATCAAAATATAATTATGTAATTATATAATAATATAATATGCATCATAAAAATATAGTAATTAAAAATTGGAATAATTTAAAAACCTAAAGAAATATTAAAAATATACCCAGTGAGAAATGACAATGGAATCGACATCGAATCAATGTCGAAATCATCAAATTGACATCGATTCCATTGTCATTTCTCATAGGGTAAAAAAGCGAATATTTTATATTTTAACAATGTTTCTACATAAAACATATACCAAAATTTATTTATAGACATTACCAGAGAGAAACCTGACAAGATAATGAAGGCCTTTGTTTCTGTAACCGCAAACTGTTCCCACGCATTATTGCCCTCTGAAGAAGTGGATGTTTGAATATCAAACAATTTAACGAATTTTGTCTTATAATACGCGTCTGCATAAAAATGGAATTACGAAGTTGTTTTTTTTAATGCAAATTTTTCAGCTCATTTTTACCAAATATAATTATTATTATAGTCTGTAAGTATATTTCAAAGTCTCTATAATCACTAGCAAAATTATAGAATCTTTGAATACACTTCAAATTTTTCGATCATGTATCGTTAAATTAAGGTTTAATTTAGCAAAAACGAGCTAGAGGCTCTCCTTTATCTTACTTTATCAAAGTTGAATTATTAATCTTAATTTAAATTAAATCTGATCGATTCACAATTCCCCTTATGAAAATCGAATAAATAAACCTCGCGCAATCTTAATTACTCGCGCTCCTTTATATTACTATATTATAAACAAAACTTGAAATAATAAACTAATAATTTGCAATTAATTTCCTTTTTTTTTTCGGGCTTCCACTGAATGATTATAACGGGCTCTTCTTTATAAGGTAATTTCCCTGACTTTTTCCGGTTTTCCCGGTTTTCCAGGTCTGTGGCAATCCTGACTGATTATCGATAATTGATACAAATTTGTATACCGCCGAAAATTTGCTATTTAAAATTGAGTAAGATTACTGAGTATTTCGTTGGTGCCCATATCAAATATCATT